TGAACCATACAGAAAACACTGCTCCCAGAAGTTCTACTGTTGCATCATGTAGCTGTCACATGGACTGCATAGAGAACAGTGACGGCTACATGATGCAACAACAGAACTGCTTGAAGCAGTGTTTTCTGTGCAGTCCATGCCAAGGTGTTATAAGCAGAATAGATCTAGAGTTTAGTCAGTCATGATACAGATGGTGGCCAATAAGGTCATAAACATGGAAGCTGATGAAGCTATGGCATTGGAAGCCTTTACCAGGTGACATCCAGCGAAGATATAGCAGTGAGAAGGCTTCATACGTGCTGTAGTGAACTGCAGAGTGTGTAAATTAGCATTAGCGCTGTTGTTATTTGTAGTTACATTCTGTTAGAGTTCAGTAAGTCCAGTAAGCCAAACCCTGTATATAATAACACTAATACGTATGACAACTGGGGTCAGAAATGGGATTGGACTCATCGATTAATGGATTGATGATTACACTGTGTAGGTATCTTGCCACACTATGAAGATGGAACAAATACTGGTATGCCTGATGGCGGAAATGAATGCCATGGAAGAAAGAACAGATGCCAATCTAAGGGAAATGAAGGCTGAAAGCCAAGATACAGGCCAAGAGTGAGAAGTCTGTGGTCCTTTGAGGTACTCTCATCTTGTGGATGGATATCCATCAAGCCAGGACAGAGGCCACAGAATAAAAAATTGATGCCAACCTAAAGGAAATGAAAGCTGGCCAAGAACACATGAAAATGACTGCACTGGCGAGTTCCAGTAGCAACTGTAAATGACAGACCCATCTTCTTGTCAGAGAGGATGTTACATAAGGGCTATGACTGCAAGTGTTCAGTTAAAAAATGTTGGTCATGAGTCCCAAAGGGTTTGTCACCAAGCTGGACTAATGGTAAACCACCAGTTTTAAAGTAAGTATGACTCTGACTATACCTATGACCATAAGGGTTCAGTTGCCCCCTCCCCCCCCACCCACACACACAAAAAAAAAACCTCTGGTCGTGATCCTCAAGGGACTTGGCACCAAGATAAACTTAACTCTGACTCTGAAATACGTGTATCAGAGGAATATTCACTGTTGGGAGCCACTACCTAGTAATGACCAGTGAAGACAATAATAGATTGAGACTTAGCATGTGCTATAGAGAACTGTAAAGTGTGTGTAGACTGGTGACAGCATTATAATTAGTTGTAGTTTCAAGTTAGTGTTCAACAAATCCAATTACCAATCCAAACCTCATGTCTAGTCACTAACACAAGACAATATCTTAAGAGATAAACATTCAGTAACAGATACGATCTGGTATTGTAAAAGTAACGTATGACCTGATGTGCAATGATTTGGTTTTTGGAACTCCCGCAGCTGTAATTAAAATCACATTCGATTTATTTGAGAAATTTTTGTGAAGACTAAAAATTGCAAATGTTATTAAGATCTGTTCATCCAAAACAGTTATTATTTGTAATTGGATGTGGAAAATAGATATTCACACATCATTATGAGATAGACATAAAATGTGGCCAATGAAGTTCTTGAGATCTACTTTCATGTAAACTTTTAAAACACCAAATAAATAAATCTCAATTCTTCATTCTAAAATAGTGTTGGTATTCTATGTTGCACAAAGAAAGTTACCACAAGTTTACAGAAAACACTACAATTTATTATCATAACAAGGATATACAGTGTCAGCTTTATATTGTCATACTTATTGCATTTTAGAAGTGCTATGTTATGATTTGCTTGTAGTCAGATATTTGACTAGTTTTTGCTTGAAATGTTTCTATTGTGATTTCATAGTCAATTCTAATAGTATTAAGTATTATGTATTTACTGGAATCAACTATCTGATTCAACATATTTTATTTAATTCTATTCTACTCAGTTACTTTGTTTTATCTATTCTGTATATTATGTACTATTTTTAAATGTTCTATATCTTACATGTACTGCGGATCTATGGAATGTTACAAAAATTGGAATTTAAATTGAAATCAGCTAGGATGAATATTGACTGTGGAGCAGCTGGTGGAATAAGAACTGACAGGCAAAACCAAAATATACTTGGTGAAAACTTGCCTCGGTGATACTTTCTACCATAAATTCCCCATAACCTCACCCGGGACTGAATTTAGGCCACCATGGTGGAATGCCAGTGACTGACTGCCTGAGCTATGGCATGGCCTGCCATAATAAATTTCATTCCTTTTCAAATTGTTCATGACTAATGTATGTGACTAGATGTCTTAAAATATATGGCAAAATTCAGACTGAATGTGCAGTATCCACTTGTCCCCCTTTCCAAATTTGGGATGGATTATAAATATATTTTAAATTCTCACAGAAGCTAAATTGTAATACCACGTGATTATTTATGAGGTTTAAATGTAATTTTACTCTTTCATGCATTCCTTATTTTATGTTTAAACAAATAAATAGAGATCTAGAGAAAAGAACTGCCAAAATATTAATCGTAACCCGGTCACAGAAAATACAGTCTTACACGTTCATACTGTGTTGTACATCTGTACACAGTATGCATGCATATACAGTTTTTTTAAACTGTGATAAATTAATGAGGATAAAGGTAAAAGAGGTAAAGTTATCCCTGTAATAGGCCATGGAGGCCCAGAGGATTGTGAGAGGTTGAGGCTCCCACATCTTCTAGACAACTGGCTCACAGATGGCAGTAAGGTTATCAGCTTTACGCGCAGGCTGTCCTTTACCCCCAAGGAAGATTCCTGGTACTCATTTCTGTTAGAGGCTGACTCGACCCCAGGCCCATAGTGCGGCTGGAAGGACTAGGTAAATTGAAAAAAATCCACCTCATCAAGACTAGAACCCACAACCTTCTGGCTTGTAGCATAGTGCCTCAACCAAATATGTTACCACATGCCCCAAATTAATGAGGATCCTATCCAATAAACAGGCTAAGTATCATTGTCTTATAAAAATCAACTTAAAAGTAACAGCACACATGGGAGACCTAAGTGTAGACAAAAGAATTCCATGATTTTAGTCCGCAAGCGAACTATACCAACTGAGATACCGCTGCTTGTCAGCGAAGTTTAGTGCCCACTTTGTGCAATGAATCCCCATGGCCGTTAATTTCGGTTTTCTAGACCAGAGCCGCTATTTCCTTGAAATAGGTCCTCAATTATCATCATGAGGCTGAATTCATCCCATTCCAGACCCACTACTTCTCAGAAAAAAATCTGGTAGTGGCGGGAATCAAACCCAGACCTCCAGATCTGTAGCCAGGAACACTGACCACTAGACCACAGAGGCAGTGTAGACAAGCAGATAATATTACAATGCATCTTAAAGAAATAAACTGTTGTGAGAAAGCAGAAACAAGGACAAGTAATTTCATACTTGATTATTGCAGTGGCATTCATTGATAGTTTGATACATGCTTGGAGACACACACATTGCATAGCAGTTTAATGACCATATTGGGAGCTGTCTTGATAATGTGTTTTGAGTGTTTCTGTCTAACTGTATCCAGGCAAGCCACATAATCTGTTTTGTTGTCACTGTTTATTTTAGTTTACCAGCCAAACAAGGCTAGACGAGTGTAAATGAAGGAAGGAAGGAACAAATGAATAAATGAATTATAACCGATTAGATAAAATAATTATATAATAGTAATTAAATTATACTCATTAGAAAAATATTTTTATCTATGTCGTCATCCCGCTTGCCATTTTTGACTGTATTTTACTGTATTCATAGGTCTCCCTTATCTATGGATTGTGTATGAATGTATGACTGAAGACTGCTTGCTTGCTTTTACTTTTACTTACATATTTTATAACTTTTAACAATGTACTCATTGACATCGTTTTTGACAACAGGCTCAAATTGTGATGCACAAGTATAATTATCTTGTATCTACGTAATTTTAATCTTATTACTTATTAGCGATGTACTCATCGATATTGTTTCTGTTAACAGTCTCAAATTGTGATGCATAAGAACAATTAACTTATATTTATGTAATTTGTGATCTTATTAATTTTTCAATTAGACTATTATTGTACAGATGCCATTGTATTTATACTGTATTTGACTTGTTCCATATCCTATGGTGTTTACATGTATCTGGATTTACGGACCATAAATAAATTGAACAATTACCGAACAACTGAACAATACACTGGCAGGCTCTCACAAACACAGTACTGAAACTTCAAGCTCCATAAGAAGTGCACATATTCTCTACTCGCTGAGAGAGTAGACTTGGCTAGTGAATTACATATTCAAATTCAACTGCTGTACCAAAGTAAACAAAACCAAACAATAACTACACTTATTATCTAACTATGGTTCACTGAAATGATATGTATCTATAGTATTAAGAATACGGCATTAAAGTGCAGATGGAATAGCATACTTAATACGAAGTACCTTTTAACTTACTTAGCACAAACCGTAACAGCATTACAAAGACATACCATAGCGCATTTTCACTTAATTGGTTTGGACTTTTATCAAAAACGTAAAATATCTCTCTCCACACGGAATCTAAGTATCACAACCTTTTTTTTCAATAATAAAAACGCTGAAGCTGGAATGTGAGACACATCTATTCCATTGAATATGAAATATCGTTTTAACGGCACACTGTAGCTTTTTATGTCGTTACATGAAGACCAATTATGCTATTCGCAGTTGACGTGGAATTATAATTTTGAGACCCACATTTGTATGAAGCAGCATTAGGTAAATATCATTTCAAAGAGAAAAAGGGCGTGCAAATTCTGCCGTATCTCAATTCACATTATGAAACTACTGGTAATTCAATCGGGCAACGTCAATTTTGGAAGACACTAGAATGGTGGAAAGCTCAACATCAAACCAAATAATTAAGTCAGGAGACATAGACTTTAAACAATTATAAAATAACCAAACATTTTCCCATCGCACACCACTGCTACACACATGTTCGTGCTTTCTTCACACTCATCACACAAAACACTACCAGGTTACTAACCTCCACACTATGTTCATCAACATGTTTGCTCCCCTTATCAGACCTTCCAGCCATGTTCATAGCATTAATATATTCAATTTACGAAGCGAAGTGCATGGCTGTCCGATATAAGAAAAATCCATTCGTTTTAACATTGTTGCTTCTGTTCACTAGTACAATTTACGGAAATTAAGCCGCACGCGTTTTCTCACGGAACTACATTTTCCTTTACTAATGCCTTCTTTTATACTCTACACGTCTACACAGTCTAAACCGTCTAAACCGTTTACACATTCCACCACACATCAAACGTTACATGTTTAGTAGAGAAAATCTGCAGATATACATAACAGCAAATAAAATTGTGGTAGTAGAAGTTTTCACAGCAGTCGTGATGAGTTCTGCGTTCTGCGATAAACGGCCATAAAGTCCATTGAAGTCAATGGACGTTTCCAAGGAGCATGTCGCCTCCGTCTTCAGGGTTGGAGAATTTTCTTGCCGGTTTCTTGATTGGCTTACTCTTCAACTCTGAAGATGGAGGCGAAAGTTCCTCTGAAACATCGATTGACTTTCGGCGGACTACAAGGCGTTATACCCCAATAGACAGAACTCTTCAGCAAATCAAATTGCCTTCCTGTACATAAGTGAGAAATGGCACACTTGCAAATTACGTTAATTACGTTGTTCGTAAACGAATATATATAAACGAAAACCAAATCTATTTTGTCCCGCCTAGTATAGTCTGTCTGGGTGGCGTTTGTCATATATGTCAGGCTCTTGCTCAGTTAACTGCACAAGAACAAAATTAGCAGCTTCGTCAACTTTTCGTGTCGTCTTAACAAACAAATTAATCACTGAAGTGCGTTACAGAACAGTTGATACTACGAAACCACGCGGTAACGCAATTGTGAGAAGACTGGGATGCTCCGTTGCCTGAAAATTGAGTTTCTCAATCTTTCTGCGATTTGCGTTGCCGTTTCCTCAATTTGTGACGCTCCATTCGCTAACATGCGTTCAACTGGCTGATAACAATTCTCAGAAATCGCGGTTGCGTTGCGGTTGCCAGTTTCCATGGTGTGCTCTCGGATGAGAGGTGCAAATGTGTAAATGCGTAAACCACAAATACACGCGCACCCAGTGGGTATAAAGGAGATATTACATACTTACTTACTTAATCATGGAACTGAGCCCTTCTTGAGTCGCCAATTCTGCATCTACTCAAGAATTTCCCAGCATTTTACGGAACCCAAAGGTTCATTACCGTGTTCACAAGAGCCTTCAACTGGTTCCTATCCTGAGCCAGATCAATCCAATCCATACCATCCCATCCTATCTCCCTATGATACACTTTAATATGATGGATATATATTGATGTTATTTAAGTCTGTAGCGAAACAATTTTGCAGTCTTTCAGTAGACAATGTGCCCGTTTTGCGTTTTGCGCAAAGAATCATGGTACTGTAATGGCGTTAACGTTAAAGTTGAATTGTGTAGAATAAATTGTAACCATATTTCTGTACAGTTAATGAATGTGCCAAACGTTAAAACCTATTAATATGGACTTCATTGCAACGTGTATATAAATGTACTAAGGACATACAGTACGTTATACACAAAGCTCTGAGTTTGGCTCATGCTAACCCTCCGTGTTTTGCGCAGGTAAAAGATGTCACTACTGTCGGTAGATGTTGGACGATGTGTTGCTATTAATTGTGACGCCATTTTACTAACCTTTAAGGCGGGGGAGCGAAGAATTTGGTAACCTGTAAGTGAAATTGCATAAATTGCTGAGCCACAACAAATATCACACGCACTTCAAGAAGTGCAACCAGTCATCTAACCTCTTGGGTAAGACGCAGAACTTCCGTACATTGCAGTATTTCAACCACTTGCGTAGAACTTTTTTTTAGTAGCAATTGGACTCGCGAGGAAATTGTGTGGGAAAGGTTAAACGGTAGATTATAATAATACTTACGCTTTTTGTATCAGTCTTTGATGATCGTACTCCAAGTAGTCGAGATTTGAAGCCATTTAGTGTTATGTGGGTATATGTAATGCTAGTCATTTATGGCAGCTCTCAGAAATGTAATTGTACACATGTGTTGGAAAGACAAGCTGATGACTCCCGAGAGAGATTATAAGAGTCTACATAGATTTCTGTTTCTTGGTTTCAGGCTTTTGTGCTTGCTTGGTGGAGACTATGGAGGAGGATGAAGGTGACACACTAATGGCTGTGGAGGAGTCAATATTCAGTGAAAGGGTAACAAAGGATAAAGATGATGCTTCAGTTTTACATGGTGACAAGAGTTCCCCTAGTCCATTGGTAGAGGAACATGATAAATTAAAGCCTGGTTGTCAGGATAATATGAAGTCAGCTAGCTGTGTAGTATCTGCACCAATAACAAGTGAGAGGGGTAGTGAGAAGAACAATGGCGCATTAGCAAGTGATAGTGATGTTCCCGGAAGTCCAAAGAAAGTAAATGGTGAGGTAGAATTATCAAAATGTGACACAGCTGAGCACAGTTCTGATTTAGATTTCGTTAGTGATAATACCATAGATAAGGACAGCAGATCAGTTGAAGATGAAGATGATGATGATACATATTCTGAATCTGAGAATTCATTAAACCCTCAGAAACGTAAACATGAAGTGATCCCATTGCCCGAAGAAATAAGTGATGCAACAAAAGATGATGGCCAAAATTCTGAGAGTAATATTGAATATAAAGGGTTCAAGAAAAGGATTTTGGCTCAGACATCCGTAGCAGCCAATAACATATCCACAACAGGTGATAAACCATTGAAGTCTTCAAAATCAGTTTTTAAATGCAAGGAATCACCTCTCGGAGAGGCTGTTTTAGAACCTCAGCATGTTTTGCTGTCACATCAAACATTACCAGATGGGACGCAATCCAGTGCACAGCTTAAAGAATATGCTCAGTATTTGGGCTTGCAGCCAACAGTGAAATTCAAATGCTATAAATGTGGTGAGAGTGGTTTCCCGTCCATGTTAAAATTACAAGAACATCAGAACACCTGTCTGAAAAATTGTAATAAAGTGCAAAGTCTTACAAAACCTATCCCTCCACCTCATACTTCTGAACCTACACCATCTACAAATTTCAAGATAACTCGCAAAGTGTACCTCTGTTCAGCATGTGGGACTTACTATGAGAACTGGAATCTCTTTCTTCACATGAAGGAGGTTCATAAGAGACTTATATGCTTATTTTGCTTGGGGATGTTCTCTCAGGTTGACAAGCTTGCTACACATTTGTCTGGAAAGCATGGGGTAGTTGAAGCACTGTATACATCATCAGAGCAGTTTCTAAATGAATTTAAAAGTGGGTCCTGCTTTCTTATGTGTTGCACTTGTGAACGGATTTTTTCAGAGCGAGAAAATTTTTATGACCACTCTTGCAGTGAAGGATTGGTGATTAATACTGACAAGGCATGTTCCTTATGCGGGTTGCGAGGTGCGCATTTTCCAACATGCCGCCGAGCCTTTACTGATAGTAGCTCATCGCCACCACCCCTACGGCCACTATCAAGTTCTTCACTTTCTGCCACACTGGAAAGTCCACCAGAATCAACACAGAATTCTCAGCTCTCGATTCAAGAACATTCTTTATCAGTCACAAAATATTTAATACCGGTGGGAAAAGTTCCAGGCAAAAGAGTAAATCAGAAAGCAAATATGATGCTTGACAGCACAGGAGAAAGTCTGGAAAAACCTAGAGATCTCTCAGATATTGATGATGATTATGATATTAGTAATGCAGCTTCTTTCTGTCATGTCAACATTGATGAGCCTTTAGAGAAGCAGAAGCCAGTAGCTATTTCAAAAGTCAAAACCTATAAAGGTATAAGTCAAGATGTTGATAGGAAAGTCACTGCTGAGCTGAAGCCTACAGATTCATCAACTGATACAGACATAAATGAGAAATGTGCAGAAACTAGTGACAATAACAGAGATGAAGATGTTCAAGATAATGATACAAATGCTAGCTCAAGTAATATAGTTGTCAAAGAAAAGGAAATTCAAGAAAATCAGGAGCATGTTGATGACCAAAGTGGCAAGATTGTAATTGAAGTTGATGATGAAAGTATGCACAAGGGAGGGATAGAACCAAAGAGGTCAGATCTGGAGAACAAGACAGATTTGGAAAGCCCACGAGATAATGAGCTTCAAAGCCCTGTTTTGGAAGAACTTGAGTCAAATTTAGAAAATGATACAAAAACACAGCAACAAGTGCAGGCTAGTTTAATGCCATCACTACAGAAAGAAACCAGTGCAAAGTCTTCTTCAAAATCAGATGTTGGCCCAAAGACATCACCACAAACAGAAACAAAAGTTACTTCAGTTACACCAAGTGCCACAGAAGCTGATTCGGAGTCTGAGTCAGAGTCTGGTGATGATACTGATGACAGTTCTACAAGTTCGGAACCATCTTCTGAGGAGAGTGATCATGAAGAAACAAAGGATAAAGAGAAAGTTGATGAGTCAGATGCTGATAATGCAGAAAGTGATAAACTGTCCCTTGTTGTAGATGAAAATAAGAGTGAGGAAGAAGAAAAAATGGAATTAGAAGAAAAAAAGACTGATGATGGGGAGAAATATAACACAGAAGATAAAATGAGTGAAGCAGAAGATTCTAAACATGATGCACCAAAGAGTGACACTGAAATGGTGCAGAATACGATAGAGGACACTCAAGAATATACAGTTTTGGAGGAAGAGAAAGTTGATGACCCAGCAGAAAGCATGCAGATAGCAGGTGATGATGTACCCCTTTTGGAACTGACACTTGAAGAACATCTTGACAGTATGAATATCCAGATGTTACTGAAGGAATCTGTGAAAGTTTCCTGCCTTAATTGTGTGTACTGTAATCATGCTAAGAAAATAGCTGTTAATGGTAAACAGCTGGCATTACATCTGTTAGCAGAGCATCGTTTTGCTCCAGTTGTTTGCTCTGATAGTGGAGAACTCACAGAAGCTGATGGGTTTGTGGATAAATTGAAAATTTCATTATCAGAATTGCAACACATGTTTTTTAACACAGACTCTTACGATAATATGGACCAAACTTGTATGCGTCCATATGATAGAACATACGAATGTTTCCATTGCCATTTCTTGACAACCCTGCATAAAGAGCTATATGTACACAACAGAAAGATGCACCAGAAAACAATTCTCTTATGCATTATGTGCAAATCCAATTTTTATAGCTATAGTGAACTACTGTGTCATTTATGTCCTGGTATCTATGTACCAGAAAGTAATATAAACTTCCGCTGCTGCCTGTGTACAGTTGATGGTTTACCTTCAGCTTTTAGACTTATGGTACATCTGAGGAAGAGACATCATGCTTGTGATGTGTGTCTGGAAACTACTGGCGATCAACAGAAGTTGTCCAATCATGTGTGGAAACACAAGCTACACCACCTATGTTATCGTTGTGGAATTGCTTATCGCAACAAACCCGATATTACAAAACACCTTTTCTGGAAGCATGGCACTGAGAGCGTTCTTTGCAAGAAATGTTTACAGAAGAAATGGCCTCATGTCTATCATTTTTGTATACCACCAAATGCATTTGTATGTGAAGAATGTAACAGCAGCTTCTCACGTGCTGTGGCATTGAAAGTTCATAAGAGACTGCATGCTGGTGATTTGCCTTATCCCTGCAGTGAGTGTGAGGAACATTTCATATCAAGAAAACTTTTAACCAAACATCAGGAGAAACATCGAGAGCCTTCTTCGCCTAAAGATGCAGTGGAAACAAGGCTGCAAGAAAATGGTCCCATCGGAGAATTTGAAAGCCAAGAAAGTAATAAAATCGAAGATGACTCTCTGCAAAGAGCAGATGTGCTTGCCCATGAGGATGCAGTTGCCAGTGGCAGTTCAGTACAAGAAGAGGAGTCACGGGTATGTGATCCTGTGACAGCAGCCACAGTATCAGAAAGAGATATAGCTGATGCTGCTGTAGAAGCACCTGTTACTGAAAACTTGGGTGAAGCACTCAAGTATGAGGAGAAAGAAGTAGGTGAAAAGAAATCTAAGGTTGTAGATGTCTATGACCTCCCTCCCTTGAATTTATCGTCAGAAAGTGATGATTCTGATGATGACACAAAGGAGACACAGTTAAATGTGAAGGCAGGTAAATCTGTAAGTGACGTGGAATCAGTGGCTGTTAATGGAAGCACAAACTTAAATGACAGACAAAGAACATCTGAAGCTTTGTCTCACACAGATGAGGATGTTCAACAACCAATTGAAGTTGTAGATGGAATTTGGGAAAATTTCAAGACATATAAAGCGAACTTAGAACGTCGTGAAAGTCAGCACACTGAAACTGGTGAAAGTTCAACACAAAAAACTGAAAGGGAACTACAATTCCAGTTATGTGAGAGGCAGATTGCAGAAGTCATTTCAGTGATATATATGGATCATGACTACTGTGGACCATTTGTGGGGACAAGTCATTCAGTGAACATGGAAGAGCAGTCAGAAGGTGTGTTGGCATCAGAACTGCAAGCTGAGCAACATGCCATTCTCTCACAACAAGATGCTGAAAAAACAGAACCAAAGGAGAAATCGGAAGAAGAGAAGAAGGCTTGTGATGCCGATCATAATTACTGTTACACTAATACATCACTTGGTGTTGAAAATGAGAGAGAGGAAGGTGCTGCAGCTGTAAGTGTTTCAGCCATCACTTCTCCAAACAAGAAAAAACAAAAGTCACCCAAGAAGAAACAGAAACATAGTGCTAGTTCATCATCTAGTGATTCCAGCAGTAACAGTGACTCAAGCACATGTAGTTGTGGTACAAACTGCAGTTGTAGCAGCTCAAGTTCAAGCAGTTCAGGCACATCCTCCAGTCAGAGCTCTGATTCTGACAGTTCAAGTTCAGAAGGCAGACGCCGCCAGACAGCCAGACGAGAACGCAGGAGAGAGAGGGCAAAGCGGAAGAAAGCGGAGGAAGTTGAGGATGCAACACCTGAAGCAGGTGCCGCAGGGGTAGCAACAAATGGACCTCCTGAACAGCATGAAGTTCCACCTCTGGCCACATCGGTTGAACCTGAGGACGTGGAGTTGCCTGTAAGAGAATCAGATCTAGACACAGATGAAACAGAGACAGATGAGGATTTTTATGATAAATATCCACAGAGACAGGCCAACAAACTACTTGCAGAAAAGCGAAATCAACTTCTTTTATTGGCAGCAGTGGCTCCTGTTAATAATGGCACAATGTCACAGTCTGGTCAGTCACCACCACCAAGTTCCATTGAAGAACCTATACCAAAGAAGAAAGTAAAAACAAAAAAACATAAAAAATTACATCATAATAGTTCAGAAAATAAAATGGAAAACAAACTGCAACTCAACATTCCCACAGACTACTACAGCAATCATGCACCAATTTTTTCAAAATCAGCCATGCCAACAACATCTGCAAGCAGTTCTGCGAATACTACCACCTTGGCCACACCAGCCCGATCCATTCAAAGTCCCTTCCTTGTTAGCCATCTTGAGCCATCAACACCCACTGCACCCTATCACAGCACAGGTAGTGGCTCAGAAACAGATACCAAACGCCTCTCCAAAAGAAAGCGAGTTCCCAAAAGATTTTATGGGGATTCTAGTGATGATGAACCTGATCAACCAGCAGCTAAGTGGCGTAAGGCAAACCCGGTATCAGTGTTGCAGTCTGCACCAGGGTGCAGCAATTCTGGCTCCATGCCTGAACCAGTTCAAGTCCCATCTGTTAATGAGGAGAAGTCAGAGGAGGAGGCTGTGGAGGATAGTGATAGTGATCGAGAGGACATAAAGAAAAGCAGCAGTGAGTCATCCAACAGTGAAAGTGATGCTGAAAAAGAACAGGGTGATGATGACGATGATGATGATCTCTCTGATGCAGACAGTGAAACCGAGACCTCATCAGCAGCGCAAACTCATACGTCTTCGGCTGAAAGAAAAAGCGATGCTGTTCAGCAAAAGAACGAAAATTTATATTGTTACTGCCAGTGTCCATATGATGAAGTGTCAGAAATGATTGCGTGTGATGGTAAAGACTGTACAATTGAATGGTTTCATTTTGAGTGTGTGGGTATAATGGTGCCACCAAAGGGCAAGTGGTTTTGTCCAGACTGCAGAAAGAGGGCTGCGGCAAGGAGCGAGTACTTGCTACATGTGTGAGTTGGGTGTGGGTTTATGTACACAGTATGAATGACCTATTTAACCACTTGTTATATTAACGTGTGAAGTTTTGGGAGCTCTGCTTCATGTGTGTGTTATTTCTTCGTTGGTTTCCTCCTCTTCAGAAGGAATTTGTGTAAATAGTGTAAATAGGTAGCATAATAATTGACAGTGAATGAATTCATACAAGTTTTAGATTAATCCCTGGTGGATTCTATAAAAGTAATTGTCAGCAACTGATGTTGAACATTTTGAAAGAAGGTAGTGGGAAGTAGTTGGATGCTTTTATATGTAAATAAATATGATACTTATTTTCTTTGCCTATGAGCAACTACGTGGATGGTAGCTGAAGTAAAAATCAGTTATATGTACATTAGTATCATTGTTACTACTATTATTATTATTATTATTATTATTATTATTATTATTATTATCATCATCACCATCATCAGTACTACTACTACAATAATAAAATTATGTTGGATTTGGGGTTCCACACAGCAGTGACTATGGAAAGTGCTGTCCTCTGGGATGTAATGCTATTTAGTGCAGTAGAAGTTCACTGATGTTTCAAAGGAATGTACTGCCCCTATCTTAAGGATCCAACAGGAAGCCAAGCAAGAAGCAGGTGGCGAGCTGGTTTCATGCTGAGTTTACTCTTTGACTCTGAAGATGAACTTCTACATGGCATTATCTTCTAGATGGTACTGTTCTTAATTATAAAACTGTATACACATGTGTCATATGTAATGTCAGAAATGTCTTGCATTTATCTAAGAAATGGAATTGTACAATATTATTATTGGAATTGAAGATAGGAGTAAAAAGTAAAAAAGTAAGTAAAGGTATCCCTGTAACAGGCCATGGAGGCCCATAGGGTTGTGAGACATTGAGGTTCCCACATTTTCTAGACAATTGGATCATAGATGGCGGCAAGTTTGTCAGCCCTGCGCACCGACCACCTTTTACCCCCAAGAATATTCCTGGCTCTCGTTTCTATTAGAGGTTGAGTTGACCCCAGGGCCATAGGGCTGGAAGGATTAGGTCAAGTGAAAAAAATCCAATGACCTCATCGGGACTTGAACCCGCAACCAGCTACCCTACTGCGTGCCCCCAAAGATAGGAGTATGAGAAAATAGTAATGTGACTGCTTTGGAACAGGATCTGATGCTAAGTATTCTCTTGCAATGGCCTCGTGTTGATGAAATAAGTACAGCAATGTGATATTAAACATGTATTTATCAGATGCTATGTACATAATGTGTTCTTTCACTTTTACCTGTATGATTTGATGCATTGCCATGTGTTTTTTAGTATACCAACATTTTAGGCTATTTATTTTTTATACAAAGTCACATGGGTGAATAGTGCAACAAAGTAAATTAAAGGATTACTGGTATTTCTGTTGTTTCAGGTGATTAGGTAAACATACATAATGATCATAATTTTGATTAGGTTGATGATATTGGAATGTATGTGATACCATTATACGTGCATGTATTATGAAATTCAATATTTGTTTTTTATTTTATCCTAAATATGATTTTAATCTTTTCTGAGAACGTTATTAATGTTTACTAGTTGCAACAACTATATTTCTTAACTGCAGTGAAACTGACCTTATAATTGCTGTGGTATGTAAATAAATTTGTGACTAATTCTTATAGACATTAGGAGATTCACAGTTTTCTTCTATAGGGGGGCATAAGGTTATCCCTAAAATAACATCCATGTACATGAATTGTACATGAATTCCTGGAGAAAAAGTATAATAGTAGTAGTCATTACAAGGAAGTCAAGAATAAATGCTAATTTTATTTATGTTTTTATTTAAATAACAGCCAGAATTGGCTGAACAATATGGAAGTTTGTATGTTATGTGCAACAGTTTCGCTACACAGACCTGAATAAGCAGGTAATTAGGAAATGCTGCTCTGATTAAATGAATACCTTACCAGCTCACAAAATTTTGCACTTTCTCTTTTACTACAAATCTGTCTACATTGAATTGTCAGTACAACCCACATTAAAAAATGAAGTAAAACCTTACACAAGTAACAGAAGTAAACATTCGTCATATATATGAGTACAAGGTCATATATTTAAACTGTCAGAAAATCAAGAGTAAGTAAGAAACAGAGTTTCTTTGATGCACGTTCATGCACATTTCAGAATTTTGAAAGCCAGGGAACAGTAAATGTGCAATTCACATTAGCTGTTGATCTACAAGTAGACACCAACTTCAAGCTGAAGCAGATAACCTCTTTTGTGTTTCAGCATCATGGTATTAATGAATTTTCTACAGAAACTTGCAACAGTAAAACAATATCCAGGCATTTATGCAGTAAGTGATAATTTTGACACACTGTAAAGTGACTAAGTATGGGAATTGAAGGTTGTACAGTTTTCACATTCACATAAAAAACAACTGTGTTTTCTCTGCAAAAGTTTTTGAAATGTTGGTAGGTGTAATCAGTTTGTTGTATACAGTGCATTATGTACCTTCGTAGGTTCATATTCTCGGTCAGCATGAGGCTGAAAGTAGTTGGGAAAAATTATTTCATGTGTAAAATTATATGGACCATGATCCTTTTCAGAATTTGGACAAGACTGGCATACACCCAACACTTCATATCCTATGTCCTGAAGTATGAAATGTTGAGTGCAGAGTTTCACAGTGGGTACAGGATAAGTTTAAGATTGTAGGATGATTTTCTGTATTTAGAAAGACCAAAATATGTTAAAGTAATTGATTTATATTTCAGCTAAGAGGTTGGTGGGGAAATGATTATGAATGTGAGTAGAGAAGGACTTTAAAGAATGCAGGTATGATTTATATGGGGCATATTGTGCATTCATTTGGTAGAGCAGAGGAGAATTACAGGAAATTATGACAAGTAAGAGCCCCGACTGAGATTTGAACCATTTACTGCCAAGATATGAGTTACATGCATTATGACTTGGTAGACTACTCATTGAGTAAGACTTATATTTATGCAGATGCATTGTCAGTAGATGAGTGTGTAATTTGCATAATCCCCACATTTTCACCCTGTTTATTTTTAAGAACTCTTTTCAGGGTTTTTCTTGATTTTGTTGCAGTGACATTTCGTTATATTGCGAGACAAGTGAGACAATTTTTACTGGTATAACATGTTTCTAAATTGGTATTTGTTATAGTTTACAGCAATTGTCATGTCATAGTAAATAATTGTATCCAAGCATATTCTGTGCTGTATAATAGATTTACCATTTGCATTATAGCGTGGAGTGGTATTAAATATGGTAGCCCATATGTTGTACGAACACTGGACTCCAGAGAATGACAAATGGAATTGAATGTGTGGTTTGCACTGTGTAACCTTATATTGATAAGAGGTATTTTTCATAGTACTTCCTTATCAGCTTACCATACTGCACAGGAAGTTACTGGAAATAGGAGACAATCAGAAATGTCTAAGGAATGTTACTTTTCCTTATAGTTGAAGTTTTGTGTAGGGTATGGATATATGTCATGGGTTCTCAAACTTTGTGGTAAGGATAATTATGTAAGTATATAAATTTATGTAACCCCCGCACCCCAGTTCTGTGGTGGGTATCAGTTTTCTGAACAAGTACCCATCAGGCTATACAATCATAGCGGGAACATAAATTGGTTTACAGCCTATCTACAAATACGGTAAACTATAAAGTTTCCCTGTACAGTGATCAGAAAAATTCTTAAAATGTTTCACTTACTGGAGCTACATTTTCTGAAAGCACCCATATTAAATCTTACTGACTGAATAACATGCCAAAACGGCACGTAGATACGACCGTACTCTAAATAATTCTTGAGAACTTGGCAACCTTTCTTAGAGTAGACTGCAGTTATGGTCCACAGTTATAAGAAACCATATTGTGTGTGTTTATACTATTCATATATTGGTCATGATATCCAGAGCATGGTTCATATTCTGTCTGATTAATTCAGGTGACAAAGAATAAGGGCCTACACTAACTTTTGTTATATGGTACGCAAGCTTTATTTGGATTATAAATAGTCATGATTTGTATAAACTTTGAAGCTTTCACAGCAACCAAAAATGAGCAAATTTCTTGACAACCATCCATATTAGTTTGGTTCAGATTCAGAGTCGAATGTTTTGCTTCCTTCTGTTTCCCTGTCATCAGGGAATGATGATGGATATTTATATATATTCATCATCAAACTGCACTTTCAAGAATAACCAGTGATCTATGAAGGGCAGAGAGTGGAGCCAAATGTAAACCCATCTGAGAACCCTCCAGCTTGTTTCAACTGATCACTTGGACCCAGCTTCCCAGATCAAGCAACAGTGAACTCATGGCGCTGCGACAGGTTTGCACTTGACTACATATTTCCCTACATTGGTTACTGGTTGTGCTTGAAGATAGGGCCTCAATGAGGGATGAATATATATATGAACAACAGTGTTTACCCAGTAAATTATTTTTGATGATGGTGACAGAATACCTGTGAAGTGATGAATTTTGACTTTAAACTGATTTAACTGGTTGCCGAAGAAAATCAGGTTTATGATATCTATATGACTATGCAATTTTGAAAGATCAAAGTAGTTGAAGGAGAGGCAGTTACTTCCTCAAATAAGATAGTGCATAATGCTCTGAAATTCATATATGCGATTTTCTAAAGACAGTGGTCTGTATGTTTGTAAGCCATTTCTTTGGTGTACAGTCATTTTCAAGGTAAATGATCTACCTTTTGTCTGAGTAAGAGGTGGAAGAACTGCAGCTGGTTTTAAGTCCAAGAAAGAAATGAAAAGTGTTATTCATCTGTCTGTTCAGAGATAACAAGTGTCATTCCAGTTTGTGTAGTTGAACTATGTGTAAATCCATCAGTACTGCCATTACATTGATTAACCAGTAATGTTTTTGTTTCTGCTAGACTAATGCTGAGAATTGGAAATGCTGCTTTTATGAGTTACCTTTGAAAAATCTTGCACTGTAAACTGTTTTTGATAATGTCCACTGGTCTATTTGTATAGCAACCATGGCATGTCCGTAGAAAGGATATTTTAAGGTGGGATGTGGAATAATGTTTTGCCATAAGTGAGATGTAAATACTGTATGTTTAAGGTTAATTAATGTGCATGCTGACATTCAGTGTAAGTCTTCCTAATTTTTCCAACC